TATTACAAAGAAGACGGTGGACGAGGATTACAACCATAGCGGTTTAACGACACCGTATATGTGTCTAAAATATTTTGTTCAGACACATCGCTTACAGTTCTCCTTTTCTTACGTCTCCATGGGGGGCCAAAAGACAGCAGTTTTTTTTGAAAATAGGTAATGAAAAAAGAGAGCAGTTCAACGACACGTATGGATCTTAACTATTTTGTTGACACACATCGCTTTCAGTTTTTTTATTTTTTTATTTTTAAGTAGGGAATTTAGAGGAAGGGGATTTGGGTACAAAACGTCAAAACCCAAGTTTCAGATCCCTGACCCACTTTTCGCCTTTAAGTAGGGAATTCGGAGGAAGGGGGTTTGGGTACAAAACGTCAAAACCCAAGTTTCACATCTTTGACCCACTTTTCGCCTTTAAGTAGGGAATTTGGAGGACGGTGATATGTAGAAAAACTTAGAAGTCACGTGCAGGTGGCATATCAGTTATTGTCGGTTTGTGTCAATTAATATGCTAGTATAAACGTGTTTTGTAACTCTTTGTTGGGTGTTCAGTTATTTTGGTGTTCTTCAATCTTCTTAAACTCTTCTGTAATTCTCTTGTATTCCAGACTCTATTGCAAAGGATATATATCGAAGATCCTTTCTATTTTGTGGATTGTCCTTGTATTCCTTTAAATTCTGTTTACTGGTATCATTTGGTATCAGAGCAAGTTCCTGGCATCATGGAAACTCACTTACAAGAACAAAAGAAATTGATTGATGATGTTGTTAAAACAGCTATGGCTGAGATGGGCGGACATTATGAACAACTACTTAAGGCCATGGAGGAAAAGTATGAAAACCAAGTGTCAGATTTGAGAACTCGAATGTCAGGTCTGAATGTGCAACAAAATCAGATCATGGCACAACTTGATACCTCTTCAACTTCTTGAGGATCTCAAATTTATGGAAATTCATCTTCAAATACAGGTATGGGGCCACTTACTTCCAAAATTGCCAAGATAGAGTTTCCCAAATTCAATGGTGAAGAATTGAAAGATTGGTTGTATAAATGCAATCAATATTTTAGAATTGATGGTACTCCTGATGAACATAAAGCTCATTTGGCTTCAATAAATCTTGAGGGAAAGGCTATGAAGTGGCATCAATCTTTTTTAGAGATTAAGGGAGAGCAAGTGCTTTCAAATTGGGAGGAATATGTTGAGGGCCTTAAGGCTAGATTTGGTGAGAAGGCTTATGAGGATCCCATGTCTGATTTGATTTCACTTAAGCAAACTGGGACAGTGGAAGAATTCCAGGAGCAATTTGATACTCTTTTCCCTCGAACTGGAATAAATGAAAAACAAGCAGTGAGTTTTTTCCTTAGTGGATTGAGAAGAGAGATAGAAATTTCAGTGAGGATGTTTAAGCCACAGACTCTTTATGATGCTTATGCTTTAGCCCGGCTACAAGAGTCTTCTATTCAGGAGGCACAAAAGTTAGCTTTAACATGTAAACTTCAACCCAGACCAACTGCACCCTTATTACCTACACCAAACACTCTTCCTCAGACACCTAATGCTACTACAAAAACATTCACTTCTACCAACTCTACCAAATTACCTTACCCAAACACTAGACCATCAAACACCTCTCCTAAACATATTAAGCCCCTTACCAGACAAAAGATGGAGGAGCGAAGGCGAAAAGGATTATGCTATTGGTGTGATGAAAAATTCACCAATGGTCACAAATGCAAAAATATGCAGTTGTTTTCCATTGAAGTTGTTGAGGGTGATGAAGGAGAAGAAGGGGAAGTCTTTGAGGAAGCCATAGAAGAACTTCCAGATGACTCCAATCCACACATGTCTATTCATGCATTATCTGGAGGTAGCAGTGGAGCTTACCGTACAATGAGGGTAACTGGATATGTGAATAAGAAACCTATTCACATACTCATTGATTCTGGGAGTACTCATAATTTTTTAGATGTTAATGTGGCAAAAAGGGTTGGCTGTAAGTTACAAGCTGTTGAGGCTTTGAAAGTTGATGTAGCTGATGGAAGTTCACTGGAATGTGTCCATATGTGCCAAGATTTTACTTGGTGGTTACAAGGTAAACCATTTCATACGGATACATTAATTTTACCTCTTGGTAGTTGTGATATGGTGTTGGGAATTCAATGGCTAGAGACCTTGGGTGACATTTTGTGGAATTTTAAGACTTTACGCATGGAGTTTGCTGTCAATGGACAAAAGTATGTACTCAGGGGATCCTCTCAGGTGTCTTTAAAGATGGTTGGCAGTAAAGGAATGGTGAGATTGCTTAAAAAAGAAGGACAGGCCAGCTCAATTCATTTATGTAGTCTGATTGTTGATGCTGTCGAAGGACGTGGCACTTGGCAAACTGAAGAAAATAAAGCTGAAAACACTTCCAAGAAGGTTTCAACTTGTTCTGAATTGGAGAAATTATTATTAGAGTATGCTAATCTCTTTGCAGAACCTAAAGGCCTTCCTCCCCACAGGGCTCATGATCATAAAATTTGTTTAAAGGCAGGAACTGATCCTATTAATCAAAGGCCATACAGATATGCAGGAGTACAGAAGGATGTCATTGAAAAGATGACTCAAGAATTGTTACAAACGGGTATCATCTAGCACAGTGTAAGTTCTTTTGCTTCATCTGTAGTTCTAGTTAAGAAGAAAGATGGGTCTTGGCGCATGTGTATAGATTACAGAACTCTAAATAAGCAGACTGTGAAGGATAAATATCCCATACCCCTCATTGAAGAGCTGTTAGATGAGTTGCAAGGATCAAAAATTTTTTCTAAGATTGATCTTAGATCGGGATACCATCAAATTAGAATGTATCCACCAGATGTTCCAAAAACAGCTTTCAAAACTCATGAAGGGAATTATGAATATTTAGTCATGCCATTTGGTCTCACCAATGCACCTTCTACTTTTCAATATCTTATGAATGATATTTTCAGAGTTTACCTTCGAAAATTTGTCTTGGTATTCTTTGATGATATCCTTGTTTACAGTAAGAGCTTGGAAGAGCATATCTACCATTTGAGACAGGTATTTAAGCTGTTGAGAGATAATGAGCTATTTGCAAAGCAAAGCAAATGTTTCTTTGGTTGTGACAAGATAGAATATCTTGGGCACTATATCTCTGAAGAAGGAGTTTCTACTGATCCTAAGAAGATTTTAGCTGTTCAGCAATGGCCTCAACTGAAGACTGTTAAGGAATTGAGGGGATTTCTCGGTTTGACAGGATATTATCGAAGGTTTATTCGGAATTATGGGAGTTTGAGTAAACCTTTGACAAAATTGCTAAAAAAAGAGGGGTTTCATTGGTCAAGGGAGGCTAGTGAAGCTTTTGAATCCCTTAAGCATGCTGTGACAACAACTCCAGTGTTGGTTTTGCCAGATTTTTCCAAGGAGTTTGTAGTGGAGACCGATGCTTCTAATGCTAGAATTGGTGCTGTTCTTTTACAACAAGGGCATCCAATAGCCTTTATCAGCAAGGCTTTGTCCTTAAGACATCAAAGTTTATCAGTTTATGAAAAGGAGTTGTTAGCTCTAATTTATGCAGTGCGTAAGTGGTCACGTTATTTGACTGGAAGGCATTTTATCGTCAAAATAGATCACCAGAGTTTGAAGTATCTTTTAGAGCAGAGGATTAGCACTCCTTTACAGCAAGCTTGGTTAGCTAAATTAATGGGCTATGATTTTTCAATTAGTTATAAAAAGGGAAAAGAAAATGTGGTAGCAGATGCCCTTTCTCGAGTGTCCAGTAACCAGCTCATGCAAATGGTAGTCTCTAGGATTCTTCCTGGTATTTATGAAGAGGCGAGACTTAGCTGGGAAGTTGATCCAGTGCTTCGGGAAATCTGTAATAAATTACAACAAGGTTCTTTAAAGGATTCTGCTTACACTTGGTCTGAAGGACAACTAAGACGAAAAGGCAGATTAGTTGTGGGAAATAATGCTACTCTTAGGAGGAAGTTGATTCATTTGGTGCATGATAGTGCAATGGGAGGTCACTCTAGAATTCAAGCTTCCACAAAAAGGTTTGCGCTTTTGTTTTATTGGAAAGGCTTAGAGAAAGATGTGAGGCAGTACATAAGGCAGTGTGATGTATGTCAGCGTTACAAGACGGAAAATACTCCAACTCCAGGGCTATTGCAACCTCTGCCAGTTCCTCAGCCGCCCATTTTCCAACCGTTTAAACCCCATTTTTCCCCTCTGTTTCTTCTCCATCTTCAACCTCTGTTTTTCTCAATCCAAGTTCCCTCTCAAAACACCTTCTTGATTTAATGATTATTTTTTTTTATTAAACATAACAAATTCTGAATTCAAATTACATAATATATGGGTAAAGTAAAATAAAAAAATAAAAAATAAAAGATAATTATCTCCGTTATACCATCAAAATAAATAAAAAAAATACTATACAATGTTACAAGGGTTATCACTTCTAAGCTTACCAATTTCGTTCTTATTTTATGTCCGTCAATCGACGTACCAATTTCATAATTTTGTGAAATAAGTATTATTTATAACTAAATTGCGACGCAATCATTACCATCCATTCGACATCCGACCATCACTTATATAGAGTCCTGATACTAGATAACCATCGGTGTTTTTAACTATAATTTTAAATTTTAATTTTTAATTTATATATATTAA